TATAGGGCATATGATTGCAGTTGTTTTGAAAATCACATTCTTTCACATTTATTGTATGGACCTCTTTTACTATGTAACGCATTCTTTTTACTTGTACAGACTGTTCATAATTTATTTAACCATTCTCTTGTGGATGGCCATCCAGGTTGTTTCTTTTTAAAAAAAATTATAAATAATACTGCAGTGAAGCTTCTCATGCATATATATGATTATGCTAGATGCAGTATTCCAGAAGAACATTTTATTTAGGAAAAAAGGCTAGGGATGAATTGGATACACAGGAAAATAAAGTTTCAAATTATGAAAAATGTAAGCTCATAGAATCATATCAGCTTGGAGTCCCTGGTATGTGTTCTAAAATATTTTCTGAAATAAATGAAGTTGGAGAATTCTGAGTCATATATTCTAATCTCTACCCTTGAAGAACATTCCTGACACATCAGCCAGATACTTCTTAAACATTTTTAGATAGGAAACCTCAACTGCCTCAAAAAGCAGTAAGAAATTCAATAAGAAATAAGAAATCCCTGGATCTTCTATCATCAATACAAGGTTTTCTTTCTAGGTCTATGCAGAATAAATTTGATCTCTTTTCTCTTCGTTAATTCTTTAAATAATTTGTGTCCTCATGAGATGTTAAACTTATTTTCAATTCAAACTCAAAATATTATGACGTCCTTTCATGTATTATGTGTCATTCAGACCTCTGTGTCCTCTGCAGATTTGGTAAGCATAACACACACACTGATTAAGAAGGCAGGCTTTGGAGTCACACAGGCTGAGGTTTACATCCTTGCTCTGTCACTCACTAGTTGTGTAATTCTGAGAAGATTACATAACCTCTAAAGCCTTAGTTTTCTCATCTCTGTAATGGAATTATTGTATTTATTCACAAAGATTACTGAGGAATATATAAGATAATGTATGCAAAGTACTTAACAGTAATGTAAAAAGTATAAATGTAAAAGTATAAATCGATAGTAAGGATAGCTAAAGTGGAAATAATGATGTTTATTTTATGTTTTTAAATTATTGATTAAAAATTTAGGAAAGACCAACTTGCAGCCCTAAGCTAAGTCTTCCAGG